AAATAGATGATTGTTCCATTCTACTTAATCTTTCTTGTGTTTCATCATTGGATTTTTTCAATTCTGGTATTAATTCTACTAACATTTTAACTGTATTTGCTTTTTGTTCCATTTGTGTTCCTGGCAATTTCTTTGTTCTTCTGTGAGTTCTTTCTCACCATTCTCTGTTGTATCTTTTTTTCTTTCTCATTCTCACTCATATGATATATTTTTTCTTCCAAATTATATCCAGCATATTCCTCCAAATATTGTACTTTTTTATCAATATTTTTTGTTTGTTTTTTAATTTCTACTATATCTTGTTTAATAGTTTCAAGCATATTTATTATATTTTGAAATGAATCCTCTTGGTTACTTATTAAACCAGTATTTCTTCTAATTGTAATTACATTTCTTTTAACTGCATCTGAATATTCAATTCTCATACCTACTTGATTTCTCAAGTTTTGGTATAAACATGATCTAGTGGTCTTATACATGTATCCATATTTCTCAAAATCTTTTGTCTTTCTTTCATTTATTTCTTTTTGTCTTTTTGTAATTGGACAATTCAATACCAAATGCTCTTCTGCATAACATCTATGATATGTCTTTGTTTTTATATCTACTATTTTAATCATATATTCTCTTGCTTTTCATATTTGTCCTATAAGTTCCCTTTTTCCTTCTTCACTTTCTTATGTCACAATTGCCATTCTTTTCTTTTTTCCATATAGATTTCGAGAGAAATAAAATGTTTTTGCTCCCATTTGTGCTATGATCACATGTAACTCACGTGGTGACATATCAGGTGGTAAATTAATTAATTTAACTATATGTGCACTTCTATTTTTTAATTCTGTAAATTCATACTTGAGATTGACACCCTGCATGACTCTTCTTCTACTGTTTGTGACCATTCAGATAAAATTTGTTCCAAAATATTAGGATCATCAAAATATGCAATTGCTAATGACCATATACCTCTTGTGGACATTGTACACAAAATTACTTTTCCAAATTTGTGATTAAGCATGAATTGAATTCTTGTTCATGCATGCCTACAGGAATATCCCAAAATTTAACTCCTTTTTTCTTATTGTTGTTTCAATTTTGAGTTATTGTAGTTCTAACAAGTTTAGGTTTATCATTTTCCATTTTTTCTTCAATTTCCATTTCACATGCCTTTTCTATATCTTCCTTTTTTTCAAAATAAATTGCAATACATAGTTCGTGGTCATCTTTATTTTTTTCAGTTCTGATTGTAATAATATTTTTGTCTAATGCTGAAGTAATATTTTGAATTTTCTCTCCTAAATTTTTTCCCTTAACTACTGATGCTTTTACCCAGGCTTTATATTTTTCCAATTTTGCCATTTTTCTCCACTCTTCATATTAACCCTAGAAGCTGTTTACTGTTACTACTGACTTACTGTCACTAGCCTCTTCTTCACTAATTTCTGCATTATTGTTGTATACTTCTTTTGCTTTGCTTTTATCATTTTTTGATGTATTTTTTCCTTCCATTTCTTTATTCAATAAAGTTTCTGTTTCCATATTTGCATCTATTTCTTGACTCTGTTCAATAGTATTGTTGTTTGTTGCTGTTGTTTCCATGTTACTGTTCAAAGTTCCTGCTCCAGAGCTTAAAAGGTTATAACCTGTCTGGATAATTCCTCCTATACTTAAAGTGTTACGAACTGCTTCTCCACCTTTTTTGCTGATGCTTATTGTTTCATGTTTCTTTTTAGTTCCATAGTTTGCTGTAGTTCGTTTGGAATGTGTAATTTCACACTACTTTTCTTTGTTCATATTTTTCTGTTGTTTGTATTATTTGTTTATAGTGTTTTTTGGATTTTTCTCTTCCTTGAAAATTCTGGCAAAATGATTATCAGAAAGAGTTTAAAAACAGAAAATTCACTTATACTTTTAAATGCAAATCAAAAAATGCAAGTTGAAGATGTTTATGAAGATTTTTTATTTTCTCCTGAAACTACTTATTCTGAAGTATACATTATAAGTAAACCTTTACCTCCTTTATCTTTACATGATTTAAATATTAATGATAATATTAATTGAACAGGTCAATTTAAATAGTTTTAATATTAATGTATCTTATTTAATAATTTTCAGCTAAATTTCTAATGCAATTGAAGTTTGTTAACTGAAAATTTCTTAATTTATTAGTTATTTCCAAGTTATAAATTATGTGCAATTTATTCCATTTTGACTAGTTTATATTATTTTTGAGAATTCTAGTAATTATTTCTATATGAATTACATAATTGTATATTTTATGAAAAAATAAATATATATTTTATTAAAAATTCTGATTTATGATATTATGTTCTTACTACTTTCTATCAACTTAAAACATAAATACATTGTTCATAATGCATTCAAAAGTTTTAAGATAATGTAATTATTGGTAGATATATTTGATTTAAATTTTACAATGCATTCAAGAGATTTTTCAGATCATAATATTAAATAACAAAATAATTAATAATTAATTAAATACAAATATAAATATTCAAAGTAGTCTAATAACTACTATAGAATAATCTTAAAATTTTGTATAAAATAAAATTAATTTTTCAAGTATAAAAATACAGTTACAAATAAACAGTCTTTCTTTCTTCTGAATAAAAAGATTTATTTTCTGAAAAATGACAACTTTAAATTTATAGGTATTATATTATTTACAATTGAATTAATTATTTATTATTTATCAAAATTAGTTCTTCAAATCTTTCAAAACCTTAAATGGAGAAATTTAAGAAAAAATCAAGAATTTACAGAACCTTTTATCAAATAAAAGCTACATATAAGTAAATATCAATTATATTTATATTATATTATTTTTCATTTAATTTTTTTTGCCAATTATAGATTTTCTTATTTATTTTTATATGTATTTTACTTATCACACTATTTATTAATTTTTTTGATACCATAAATCTTAACACTAAGTATAAAGTATAAAATTATATGAATTTAAATACATCATTTGTAATTAAGATTTTTTTTTTATATAATATAAACTCTTTCCCAAATTTTTATTTTTACTAAAAATACACAGTAAAATTTCTTGAAATAGTTTTGAATTTTTTTATTTTATTTCATATTTCATATTAAACTATGAGCAAAAGCTCATTTACCAGGTCTCAGAGAAAAGATGTAAACTATGGCACTACTCTTGAAGGTATAAATACAGATAAAGAAAAATTTAATCTACTTAGTGACAAAGATAAAACTCAAGAAAGAAAATGGTCAACAAATTAATGGAAAAATTTGTAGAAACAGATAATGCTAAAATATCAGATAGTAATTTAACTCCACAGATAACTATTGAAAATAGAGAATTGTTATTATATGAACCAGAATTATATGGACAACAAATAGATATGGAAGAAGCAGAAACTATAGATCTCAAAGTTCAAATAATTCAAGACACATTTAAAGGTTTAAGAAACAACAAAGAAAATGAATGGCAAGTTAGAAAACATAAAGACAAATAAAAAGTGAATTCTATAATTATTGGAAAACATAATAAAGAAGAGGATAATAAATCTATTTCATTATACAACTCAGAAACTGACTACCAAACTAATTGGTGAAGAACTTTTGAAGTACCAAAGTACAAACTTTGAATCTATACGAATAAAATAATGGGTAAAAACATCAGTAAAAAAATTGATAAAGTTAAAAGAATCTTGAAAAAAAAATCAAGGTTGTCCTGGTAAAAACAAAAAATTTTAAAAACAATAGGATGATTTCTACATATTATGAAATAAAGAAGAAATGAAAAAAGGTAACAAAATTGATGTAGATGACAATGCAAAATAGCCTATTTACATGCATAAGACACAAATCTTCAAAAGGAATTCTGAAAAAGATTTTATGCATGGTGTCAAGTTATGGAACATACCTATATATCTTCAATACAAAGAAATAGAAACTGAATTAGAATTCAATTTTGATAAAATTGAATAATTAAGTTTAAGAACTAATAACATGTGGCAATTAGCCATTGTTATTTTTAAAGAAAAAGAAACAACTGAAAAACTTTAAAAAATTGGAGCATACAGTATGTCTGCCAAGGAATTATTTCTCCATGTTGAGAATTAGAAGTGAAAACATGTTACTTCTCCTGTACTAGAAGAAAAAATGAAACAATCATTTCATTTGCTTCTTAGAAAGAAAATGAAAATACCTTGGAGTTTAATTGGAAAACCAAGAATTTTAATATACAAATAGTTGACATAAAAATCAAAACATGTCACAGATGTCAAGCAATGGACTATCTAGTAGCAAATTGTCCTAGGACAATTCGAGATAAGGAGTTCAAGAATAAATCTACTAAAAGATTAGAAAAGTTTGGAGCAATGTATAAAAAATATAATTTAAAATATTTTAAAGTGATTAGTAAACAAGCAGGTATAAAGACATATGCAGAAGTCACAAAAAATAAATTAATTAATAAAAAAACTTTGTCATCTAGTGTGAAATCATAAAGATTAGATAGAGTCAAAAATATGTTAAGGAAAATATCAAAAAGGTTAGAAGTATCTAAATCACATATGTGACAACAAACTAATGATTACTATATTAATAATAGTGATGATGACAAAGATATGCTGAACTCTAATATATAAAAGAAAAAGAAAATAGTAAAAGGAAAAATAGTAGGTTAATAAATGTGTCATCAACAACAGAAAAAATTTTTGAAACTGTTTAACAAATATTAATCCATATTGTATCTTTAGAACAAAAGGCAGCAAGAAGTAATTCTAATGTATTAGAAACAAATAATAATAGGAATACTATTATTAATAAACAATAAGTTATCTTTATATATAAAATATTTTTTATGAATAATAATAATATAAATAATAATAATCAATATCAATATAAATATAATAATAATAATCTGAATATACTGAATGAACATAGAGGAAATAAAGGAAAGTGATAACCAATTTTTTTAAGATTACAACATAATGTTAGACAAATTATTAATTGTCAAAATTCTAAATTTCAAATTATGCCAAATTCCAAAGTCCAAATTTCAAATACTATGAAAAAAGAATTTTGGCAGCTAAAATGTCAAAATAATTTAAGATTTGGACAGCATATATAATTTAATACTACTAAAAAATATCCAATCTATATAATACAAATATATTTATCAAGTAGGAAAAAGATGTCATAAAATAAATTAATAATTAGATTTCATCTGTACAAAAGAAAAATTATAAAGTAGTGATCATGGAAATTTCAACACATTTCTATCACTATATATAGACAGAAATAATAATCATTGTTATCAGAGAGTGAAATTTTTTTATTAAATGATACAATATATAGTTAACAAAGGAATAATAGATGTTATGGGATTAAATATTTGATTATATAATTGTATAATATTATTATTCTTGAGTTAATGAAATAAATTACAAACTATTATTATAAACCCTGGATTTGGAATAATAATTAACCTGGATAATTGGAGATAATTTTCAAAGTTGATGAAATTAAAAGATAATCAATGAATGAAAATTAATACTAAGGATGATGATAAACTTGAAAGGATATTGGAATAAAAGGAAAGGTCTGATTTTTTTTCTAAAATAATTAAATCAGTGGTACCTTCTAAAATAATGGAACAACAGTCTTACCTTTGGGAAAAGACTATAAACTCCTTAAAAGAACCATTAAGTCACTCTACTAGGTTGTTCTTGAGAAACCTAAGAGCCACTGGTGACAATGGCTGCCAAAAATAATAACAGCTACCCAAAAATAATAATGGCAACTGAAAATAATAATAGTTGCCAAAAATAATTATGGTAGCCTAAAATAATAATGGTATTACAGAATGAAAATATAATGATAATATAATATTAAAAACACCTGCTATAATTAATAATAACCTTTAAAATAATATTTGAAATTTAATCCGTGAATATTAACTCATATAACAAATAGTAACATTTTAATAATTTGTAGTAAATATTTATAGTCTGTAACACACATTAAGTAGTCACGAAAGAGTAGTACAAGATCACATGTTCACATGATATTTATTTACACAAACATAACTATCAATTCATAACATTAATTATTATCACTTAACATCATTTAATAATAATTATTAATATATAATATTAGTTAGTAACAGATATATTTAGTAATAATATAAAGAAATAGTAACCAATAATAGTAGTGCACAGTAAGGCACAGTAAGGTATAGAAGACATAGTAATGGCACAGTAATAAAGATCACTAGATTTAAATATAAAAAGGGACTAAAATTACCTTGCCTCTCTTTAGTTTACAATTTTATAATTTGAATTTTGATAATTTGTAACTTATTTGAAATTGATAAATTTAATTTTATAATTTGTAACTCCAAGATAAATACTTGTAAAAATTACCCTGTAATGAAATTAATAAAATAAAATATTGGAAATATATAAATATATAAAATAAATATTGGAAATATAAATATAAATTATAGAAATAATTATTAAATAATACAATATGTAGTTAACAAAGGAATAATGAATGTTATGGGATTAAATACTTGATTGCATAATTGTATAATATTATTATTCCTGAGTTAATGAAATTAATTATAAACTATTATTATAAAACCTGGACTTGAAATAATAATTAACCTGGATAATTGGAAATAATATTTAAAGTTGATAGAATTAAAAGATAATTAATGGATGAATATTAATACTAAGAATGATGATGAACTTGGAAAGATATTGGAATAAAATGGATAAAAGGTCTGATTCCCTTTCTAAAATAATTGAATCAGTGGTGCCTTCTAAAATAATGAAACAAAAGTCTTACCTTCAGAAAAGGACTATAAACTCCTTAAAAGAACTGTTAAGTTACTCTACAAGGTGATTCTTGAGGAAATCAGAAACCACTGGTGACAATTTGGTACCTTCTAGCAGAAAGGAATCTTAATTATTGAGAAGTGAACAGATGTGAAAAATAAGTGGATAAAACTATTGAAAGGAATAAATGGAATTGTAGAAAATATAATACTGTTGAAATGAGAAATTCTAGAATGAAATATTGAAAATGCAAGGGAAACTCTGTCAAATTGAAATAAAAAAGGATCAACAATTAATGTTGAATTGAATAAAATTGACAAGTCTTCGGGATTCGCTCTGTCACCACTGTCAGAAAATATTTAATTAAATAAAGAAATTATTGGATACCGCTAAGTGTAAAACCTCTAACTGGACTTCAAGTATTTATACCTCTGATTAAGAGTCAAGTGCAAAACCTTTAATGAAGTAGTTGTTAGTATGGGTAAATCAAGCTTGATCACCTTGTACCTGAAAACAATTAAGGAAAAGTACTGTCAATATTCTGAAAGTTTTAATACATGATTATTGGAAAAGTGAACTGCCACTGTTAATACCTAATAGTATGTGACGCAGTGTATTCAACCTAAGAATATTCTAAAATTAATTCACACCAGAAGATTAGCTACCTTCATTAGGATGTAACAAATAAGAAATTTTCAAATGATTACAAAAAGATCAACAGAGAAAAACTTATAAAAGGGATAGCAAAATGACAGAGTATTTTTTAGAAAAGTTGAAAAGAAAAATAAAAATAATAAAAACTGGTATACAGAAAGAAATACCAACTATATAGAAAAGAAATATCACATATAAATATCAACTAAGAATTAGAAAATATTAATTGGAATATATAGAGAAAAGAAAATTCTCAAACCACTTCACCAATATCTTTTTCTGTTAATCTAAGTTACGAAACAACTAGAGAAAACTCTCCTGCAGAATCATATCAAGGTTCAGAAATAAGTGAAAAAGAATTTGAAAAATTAAAAAGAGAAATAATAAGTATTCAAGAAGAAATAATGGAAGAATTGAGGAAAGCAACAAGGTCAAGAAGTAATAGCTTCAAACAACAATTAAAAATAATAACAGAAGAAAAAGAAGAAATAGAATTACAAAATTTGAAGGATCTAAGAGAAGAAAATAATCAGGAAGAATATAACATATTTGATCCTAAAAATAATAATTCAAATAAAGGAGAAAAAAATAAAGAACAAGAAAAACTAGAAGATTATAATATATATTATAACAGTGCGAGTGAGGAAGAAAAAGAAGAACCAGAAAATAATACTGTAAAAATGGATCTTTTATCATTTAAACTTTAAAGATTTACTGGAGATGGAACTCAAGATCCTGAAGAATGGTTAAAAGAATTTAATAAAGTAACAATTATTAACCAATGGAATGATAATAGAAAGAAAGAAAAACTATATAGATTCTTAGAAGAAGGAACTGAAGAATGATATCAGGAGTGGAAATAACATAATTATGTTATTTCCACTTAGTCTAGGTTATTTCCACTCAGGTGTGTGACGTGACGACAAAAGTTGGTTACCATCGTCAGTGGCATGATGACAGAAATTGGCCACCGTCGTCATGTGGTCTGATGACAAAAGTTGACTACTGTCGTC